ACTTTTGGTAACAAGTGACAAATTTTCTTTATTGTATGCATAACATAACCTTAAAGCACGTGTTCTTATATGAAAATACCTGTGATATCCTGCTGAGTTAACTTTGTGATATGTTTTAGAGTAGAGTTAGATGACTTAAGCACATCAGACCAAGTAATTGTCCTTCGAACTTCACCATAACTTGAACATTAGCGTTAAACTAAGTAATAGCGAATAAGACTTGTGAAGATCAGCCCCCTTTGTTTCAACTTTCCCATACTCAGTAGGGCAAGCGAACCTATGCTTTTCGACTTTGTTCATAAGAAATAACTTGAAAAGAGAAGTCCTTAAATATGGTTTAAGATACGATGCAAGCGAAGCAGGGAGGACCTATCATTACAAAGGGACTGAAAAGGCCTAGGCGTGTGAGCATCAAATAAGATCTTGAGCAGACATAATTTTGTTTGAAACTCTTGATCCAAAAAAAAAAAAAAAAACTCTCCGCGCCCTTCGGCTGAAGGTTTCCTAAATCAAAAAAACATTCCCCGCTAAGCAAGCAAAGTTGACAATACCTGGATCACTCCAATCTTGTTAAATCAAATGGCAAGCTGAATACTTATGGTTTCTTTGTTTCTATTTTGAGATTCACTTTATTCTCAATCATGACACTTGTTTGTAATACTTCTTAATTGTAGTGAACAGTATAACCTCTTGATCTCTTATTGCAGTTTGTTCGAGGACGAACAAAGGTTTAGTGTGAGAAGGTTTGATAACTCCAAATAGGAGCATATTCTTAGCTTGACAAAACTGTGTATTACTCGAATTTCTGTATAAAAACCATCACAATGAATCATCAATGGCATACATTATTGATATATATCGCTTGGCATGATCCAGAAATCGTTGTTGAGATTATTAACGATTTTTGCCGTTTTAAGCGGTAGTCCGGTGCCAGAAAAGCTAAGGCAGACGCCACAAACGACAGCCACCTTCGCTCGCAAGCGCCCAGAATACAGCCTGGAAACACTAAGGCATGAGAAGCAAGCGGCAGCCTTCACTGCCCGCAAGCGACAGCATCTCCCGCTTGCAAGCGATAGATTAGACACCCACCGCTGCAGACTATCACCAGATTCCAACTAAGTGTTTCAACTACAGTGGAACAACCATTCTATTTCCAGCCAGCACAAGCGAGCCTAGCTGCGCTGATGTCCTCTAGCCCTTCGGCAAGCGAGGAAGATTTGCGCCCCTACAGTTCAAGACAATCAAAGCAAGCGCCCTGGGAGTTATGGCCAGCAACTGTCTCAACAGAATAACTACCAGCAACCGCCTAACTGCCCAGCGGTTGGAACTGCCCAACAACCGATTGCAATTGTCCCATTTCACCTGCTATAAATAGGGCCAGATATCTTTATGTAAAAAAAGAATCGATACTTCGATTTTAAACACTCTTAGCAAGTACTACGCAGAAGTCGTCTTCCTGTTTTCGAGAGCTCCAACCCTGTAAGGGAGTTCTCCACATGAATGGCCAAGGGAGTAGGAGTTTTTCTTCTCCCTTGGTCAAGTCTTTACAGCTTTTTTAGATTAGATTACTGTTTTCGTTTTACAGCTTTGTAGCGTTAATCTTTTCATGCTTTCATAGTAGATAATCAAATATCATTCAGTTCTTCATCATAAATCCTTCCACCATTTTTACACACTTACATAAACTTCGAAATTAAAGAATTCCATTTCACTGGTTTAGAGCTAAAGAAGAGTTGATTATTTAAGCCTTGTTATGCGCCAAAAGCGGTCTCAAGGTAGTTCAATGTAGTTAAGTACGCGGGAGCCTTGTCAACCTGCTTAACTGCTGTTCTGAATTCAATTTTGATTAGAAAGAGGTAAAAGAAGGGTAAAGCCACTAATGAGGCAGATTTTGAGAAAATTAAATCTCTTAAGGTCAAAAATTCCAGTGTTATGAATTCCTTATATTCAGTTTATATAATTACACTACTTCATTCTCACCGTTTCCGTAAATACACATAATTCCGATAACACAACTTCATCGCTCGTTCATTGCCTCCAGGGACATCTAGCCATTTAGTAACACACAGTTCAGACACAACATCTCTCTTTCACTCTCGGTCGCTCATCTATATATATATACTTATACATATAATGTGCCGCTCGCTCATGTCCCGTTCACTCGGTAACCGCCACTCACTCATGTCCCGTTCATCTGGTCCCCGCTTCCGCTCATGTCCCGACTATCTGGTTACCGCTGGCACTTCATCTTCCGCCTTCGCTTTGCTCAACCCCTCTCATCTCATTTTTATCGCTTTCTTTACCGCTTTTTATAGTCTAGTTATTGGATCCGCTGTAAACGGATCCCCTTTCTGCATTCTCTCGTTTTTTCAAGATCTTCACCGTAGAAATTTATGACTTAAAATCCTTGTGTTTGACCTGGAAACTCACCAGTAAAAAGAGTATAAATAATTGTGATGACTACTCAGGGTCTACAACCACAAAAATTGCTATATCTGATCGTTTTCTATAAATTCCCACTCACTGATTTTCAAATATAAATTCCCTGTGAATTGTGTAAAAACAAACACACATTTTTAGCTTCATCACTTATTCACATGAGCTACATGCTTATTCAAAAGCTAATTTCTATAATTAACTCGTTGGGTTTCAAACTTTTATATTTAGTAGAATACGATATTCTGGCTATAAAACTCTTATACCTCATAATATTTATATCGCCCGATTATTAAATAAAAATACTTAAAGATATGAATAAATAGACAGGTGCAGCCATTTTCAATTCAGCTCGGATCAGTACAAAATTTTGAAAATATAACGCTAGGACTACGAATAGACTACCAACTAAAGAAATTAGTCGATTAAATTGCCAAATAGCCGATTATGAATTTTTTATGAATTTCTAATTTAATATCCTCAATATTGAAATTCTTATTAAGATCCATAATTAAATTCTACTTATAACAAGGAATACAATACTGAAATCAGAATCGAAATCGAACGACTAAATCTTTTTCTTTCTTTCTTTTCTTCTTCTTCCTTATTCTCGTTCGCGTTTCTTCTTCTGCCTTCCTTCACTCTACAGGTAAAGTTTGATTTATATATATAATTATATTATTATTATTATTATTTTCATCATCATCACCTTTATTATTATTATTATTATTATTATTATTATTATTATTATTATTATATATATTATATTTTATATTTATCCTATATTTATCCGTTTAACACTCTCCATAATTATAATCAATATACAAAATAGGGATAAAATTTACTTCACAATATTAATTTCTTAATCCCAAAATATTATAAAAATATTTTTTTTTATAATAATATTATTTTATACACTCCAAAATGGGACATTACACAAGACACAAATACTTTGTGTCATTTCATTACAACACGACACATTCAATTTAGAGGGACAAGGCCCAAATTTTTTGCGACATTTCATTGTTACATGGCATATTCAATTTCGTCTCCTAATTTATTTGGAGTCTTCTCCCATTTTTTGAAATAAAAATAAACTTATTGTTAATATCTGATTTATTTTTTTATTGAAAGAACATCATATGTAAATATATACATTTGTCTCTTTGTTTTAAGACAAACGGATAAATTTTGTTTCTATTACTACACTAGTTCAATCTTGATGAATAACCAAAAGTACAATATTTATAAAATTGTAAAACTATTGGATAAACATAATGAAACAAAAGAACCATAATTAAAATATCTACATTTATCAAATGACTCTGACTAAGCATTAAGAAGAAGTAATTTTTTTTACAATCTTGGTCAAAGATAAATATAGTCGTTTTATGGCATGGTTATTTCCAACATAAAGCACGCCTCCAAGAATCTCATTTTGAAATCTAGCTGAAGGCGGTGTTTGATAGACACCAAAATATATCTCACTTCATTTTTCCACATCGCGTTACAACTTCAATTCTAGAACGTGAAATTTATCGTGTGGCTTCATTATGTGTCTCGCTCAAAAAAATATCAAAAACTCGATTTTCTTCTAGTCCCTTATGCTGAATAACTTGGTTAAAATAATATGTCATAACATTTCACTCTTCAACATCAATGTAATATTAAGTGGTTTATATTTTTTTCTATCATTTGCATAACCTTCTACAATATGAACTTCAAATAAATAATAAGGAAATACTGTGAAGAATTTTGGAAATATCCCCATCAATGTGACATGAGTGGTGAGAGTAACAACTAGTTTATCACAAAACCATGCTTACACATGGTAAAAATACTAAAAAAAAGATCACCATAAAACTGTCAATGTTTAAGGTTCATAAATTTGTACAAACCAACTTAAGAAGATATAAATGAAAGAATATGTAGTTCCAATGTATATATATATATATACAAGGTAAATTTCACTAAAATAAAGTGACAAAGGATTATTCATAAATAAATCCAATTTTAAACAAATAATCACGAGTAATACATGTCAAAAAATTCATTCAAAGTTGGTCTTTTAATTTTAAAGAATGATTAATAAAATAAAGGCTTTGTTTTTTTTGGGCACGTTTTTCCAAAAAAATTAATACCGTACACATATTCATTATTTTTATATTTCTATCCAATTCTCTCATGTCAAAAAATTTTCTTTTCAATAATCTAACAAAACAAACACACCCAAAGATATACTGATTTCGTTCGACTCTAAAAGTCTCATTTAATTTTTTTTGTTGATTTTTGAATATGAATTATTATATCAAAATACAATACAAATTAAAAAAAAATTACCAAAATACTTCATAGTATCTTATAATACTAAAATGATATTTATAAAAAAAAATTATATAAATATAAAAATATTTTTAATTCAAATATATGCAAAATATAAATGTAACCTACTAAGAAAATTGAACATCCTACCCACCCCGTGTAACAAACAGTAAGAAGTACCTAGTATTTCTTACATAAAGTTAGCAACCTACCGCCGCTGTAACAAATAGGAAGAAGTACCTAGTCACTTTAAACCCTTCCTCCCCACTGCCCGAACGTCAAACCACACAAATTAAGAAAAATTTCATTTTGAATCAAGATGAGGCTCAATTTGGAATTGAATTTCAATCCCAATCATCTATGGATCGAATTTTACACGAATCCATTCCATTACTGGGTACAAATACCAAAATGATTCATCTTCGCCAAGATTAGACTCTCTCCTCAACTTGCGTAAGTATCCCCTGCCATTCTCATTTCATTTTCGTCGCCATTTTTTTATGCAATGATATCTATCTTGTTATTCGTCTACAAGCGGAGCGATATTTGCATTTGGTTTAAGCAAAAATTGGCAATGGGTTCTGTTGGCGGCCATTTTCATTGTTAGGCAAATTGGGGGGTTTTGTCATCTCGCACCCAATCTGTTCGACGAATTGCCCATTAAGTTTTGTCAATTGTTTGTTTTGGTAATATTAATTAAAAACTGTTTATATTTCTTTTTGGTTGGCAGAACATGCCTGTGTTACAACACTTCAATGCTGCTGCTATTCTCAAATTTCAGTCATACTCATACATGCCTGGATTCACCTCTCACCCGTGATCACTGACCCGAAGATGAATAAAATTACCCGCCGGTTACCTGCTCTTCTGCTCAATTGGGGAAATGATCTTGCTTTTGTCAATTTAAGAACATCCGTCAGAGTCCCGCTTCGCCTCTTCTCCTCTGGGTTACCAGAGAGACTGGAAATGGCGGAGTTCACTGAATACATGGAAAAACTGAAAAATTACGAAAAAATCGGTGTGCCAAAGGGTGCCGGCACTGATTCCAGCGTCGGGTTCGATTTAGATAGGATGAGGAGGTTGCTGTACCACCTGGGCAATCCTCATTACAAATTCAAGGTTGGATTTATTTTCAATTCGTTTATTGTTACCATCTGCTGGAATTTATTAAATTTTTTAAGCAGACAATGATTACTTTTAGGCAGTACACATTGCTGGTACAAAAGGGAAGGGATCAACTGCTGCATTTCTCTCCAGCATTTTGCGTGCTGAAGGTTATTCTGTCGGTTGCTATTCCAGGTATTAGATACGAAACTAGCTAGTTTTCTTTCTTCATACTTTTGACTTTTTTTTTTTTTTCTAAATTGCATAAAATCCACCTCCGGTTTCATAAAATTGCACTAAATCCCCGTACGTCAAACTCCTTCGTGGTTTCATAAACTTTGCGTCTAACCCCTCAGTGGTCCTTATTTAACGATATTTGACCTACATGCGCTCAAATTGCGAATAAATTTTAGAATCTCAATTTCTAAACACCTAAAATTACAAATATATTTATTTTTTTATATATTTAGCCTAAAAAAATAGTAAAAATAAACTCTTAAAAGCTGAGAAAAATAACTATTTTTGAGTATATTTATTATTTTTTTAGGGTAAATATAGAAAAAATAAATATATTTGTAATTTTAGGGGTTTATAAATTGAGATTTTAAAATTTATTCGCAATTTGAGCGCATTGCATTGAATAAGGACCACTGAGGAGGTTAGACGCAAAGTTTATGAAACCACGAGGGAGTTTGACGCAGTCTTAGAAGTACGGGGGATTTGGTGCAATTTACAGGTGGATTTTGTGCAATTTAGCCTTCCTTTTTTTTTTTTTTTTTTTTTTTTTACATTAAACCATAAACCAAGGCTTCAATTTTTCTTTCTCCTAGTCCGCATATACGAACGATTAGAGAGCGTATTTCTTTGGGAACAACTGGAGAGCCGGTGTCAGCAGCAGTGTTGAATTCTCATTTCCACAAAATAAAGGAGTATCTGGACAAGGCAGTTGAACTTGAAAAGGGACAGCTCAGTCAGTTTGAGGTTATAATTTGAGTGTTTCATATGAATCTATTGGTGACTTAGTGGTGATGGTCTTCATTGATTTATTTGATGTTTTATGGCTGTTTTTTTGGAACCAAGGTTTTCACTGCTGTAGCATTCAGTTTATTTGCAGAAGAAAAGGTTGACTTTGGAGTGATTGAGGTACATTACCCCCTTTAAGCTTCAAACTGGATTTTATGCCTCTTAGTGAATCTGTCCTTTGAAATAATATTCAGGCTGGATTAGGTGGAGCACGGGATGCGACGAATGTGATCACCGCTTCTGATCTGGCAGTTTCAGTTATTACAAATGTAGGTGCAGAGCATCTAGCTGCACTAGGGGGATCTTTAGAGAATATTGCAGCAGCTAAATCAGGAATTATCAAAAAAGGACGTCCAGTTAGGTGGTTCTTGATGCACGTTTCTGTATATTCAATATTCCGAAAAAAGCAATCAAAGTACCCATATATGCATATATTATGGTTGGGTGATGAATTCGAATGTGCTATTCTGATTGATTAGTGAAACTTTTCAGCTGGTTATAGGTGGGCCATTCATTCCACACATTGAGCATATTATTCGTGATAGAGCATTATCTTTGTGTTCACCTGTGGTATCTGCATCTGATCCTGGAAATAGAAGTGTTGTCAAAGGCTTTTCTAGATCAGGTGAAGTTCCCTGCCAATTATGTGACATTCAGATCTCAATCGACAGAGACATTCATTTGGTATGTGCTTGAATTGTCTTGATCTAATGTCTCTATGTATGCTGAGTTACACCAGCTATTTGGACTCCAATTTTTGTTAAGTGTCACTAGTATTTTAACGTGGCGTTTTTGTATACCAGTTCATTGAATTATTCGATGTACAATTACGATTGCTTGGGGCTCATCAACTTCAGAATGCTGCCACTGCTACTTGTGCTGCACTCTGCTTACGTGACCAAGGTAGTTATGGAACTGTGTTGGTTGGCCATGGTTGTCAGTTTAGTGGCTTTTCCTGTTAGTATGTTGATTAATGAACAAAGTGGTATAGCATAGAATATGGTTACATGCATAAACGGGGCTGTCGTATTGGGGTCCTGTCCAGTTGGAGCTGACGGGCAATTGTTTAAAGTGTTGCTTACTGTTTCTCCCCAATATGATGCTTCTTTTATGATTGATTGAAAAGCTTCTTGTATTAGATTATGACATTATAAGCACAACACAGTATCTATCTCACACCATTTTCCTGAACTAACTGATGCTAACAGTTACATCATATGGCTATCATGTTGCAGCTTGATTGAATTATTTTAGTCATATACTTATCTCTAACAGCTTTACTGTGTAGTGCATTCAGCACATTTAGCAATTTTTTCTTATCTTGATATTATCCTTTATCCTCAAAATATTTTATTGTCAGGATGGAAGGTGTCAGATGCATCTATTTATGCTGGTCTAGAGCTTGCTTATTTGCTTGGTAGGAGCCAATTTTTGACAAACAAGGAAGCTGAAATGCTAGGAGTTCGAGGAGCAACTATACTGCTTGATGGAGGTAAATATTTTCCTTTCATGCTCTATCTCTAGGTTAGCAAAATTTGTAGATGCTTTTTGAAGGTTTGTGGGAAGAAGTTATCTATCTAAAATGTTGAAATATAATTCAAGTATAAAATCTTTCATGGGATTTGGCCTAATTTATAAACCACCAAAAATATCTGCACAATTTGGGTCTCTTTTATGGTATATAGTTCAGTTTTCTATATCATTTCATCCAACGTAGTATATTGTTTTCATCGTACTGTTTCATGAAAAATATTACTATGTATTAATTGTTTTAATAGAACACTAATAGCATATAAAACTCAAATCTATTGGGTTTGTTAAGTGTAGGCTTCTTTAGGTATTTAACCCTAATGGGCTTAAGAGTTTGGGCCCAATTGTTATTAACTAATAAGAAAAGCTTTTTGGTTGCCCCCGTGGACGTAGGTCGATAACCTTTATCAGCCGAACCACGTAATCCTTTGTGTTCTACTTTCTTGTTTGTGTGCATGTGTGAGAGTTAATCCTAACAAGTGATATCAGAGCAAGGTTGTTCACACGAGTCACTTGTTCAAGAACAGCATAACAGACCGCAATCAGAGCAGGACACGTCAGACGCATCAGAGTTGTCAGATCCGTCAGCCGTCAGTCATCAGACCCATCAGCCGTCAGTCCCATCAGATCCGTCAGTCCCATCAGTGCGTCAGATCCCTGGGGAGCGTCGCCCAGTCTACTACGCAGCCCTGATCGCCGACAGCATGCTGTAGATCCGATCCGACGCATCCCGCAAATTGCAGAATTTGTATTTGCATGATTAAATCATGTCTGAGGACGAAAAAACCAAGATTGATAAGTTCGATGGAAAAGATTTCGGTTGGTGGAAGGTGCAAGTCGAGGATTTGCTTTGCTAAGAGGATCTGGATTTGCCTTTGACCGGAAGACAACCTGAGAAGACGAGCGATGATGAATGGACAATCCTTAACAAGAAAGCCCTGTCAGCAATCAAATCTACGCTAGCAAAAAACGTTGGACTCACCATTCTGAAGGAGACTATCGCATATGGGTTGATGAAGACGTTGACAAACATGTACGAGAAGCCATCGGCTTCCAACAAGGTATTTTTTATAAGACAATTGGTGAATACGAGAATGAAAGAAGGTGCGTCTGTTACATCGCATATAAACGAATTCAATACTGTAATATCCCGGTTGTTGTCGGTGAATATTAAGTTTGACGATGAAGTTCAGGCTTTGCTCTTGTTATCCTCATTACCTGAAAGTTGGTCAGGAACAGTCACAGCCGTTAGTAGTTCAGCAGGAAATTCTAAACTCACTTTTGATGACATTCGTGACTTGATCATTGAAGAGGATATACAAAGCGAAACTCGGGTGAAACTTCAAGCGCCCTGTTGAGCACGGAAAGAGAGGCAGAAAGAAAAAAAAAGAGAGGTGAATGCCATTACAGATAGCTCAGACGATGCACTCATTTGCTGTGTTGAGAATTCAACTGAGTCGTGAATTATGGATTCTGATGCATCATTCCATGCTATTTTTAGCACGAAGACGATGAATCTACGGACAGGTAACTTTGGTAAAGTTTGTTTGGCTAATAACGATTCTCTTGACATCGCAGGGATGGGTGACATAGATCTAAAGACTCCTTCAGACACGATCTGGACGTTGAAGGACGTTAGGGTAATCCCTAATCTTAAGAAAATGCTCATCTCCATTGGGCAGCCGGATGATTAGGGATATAATGTCACGTTTGGAGGAGGGCAATGGAGAGTCGTCAAAGGCAATCTCGTCGTAATTATGAGAGGCAAGAAAAGAGGTACTCTATACATGGCCGATGTCTCTAAAAATGAAGCGAATGCGGTAACCAACAAGCAAAGTCAGTCTGTTTTGTGGCTTTAACGACTTGGCTACATGAGGACAAAATGAATGAAAATGCTTGTCGCAAGAGGAAAACTTCCAGATTTAAAGAAGGTGGATTCCGAGTTTTGTGAGACCTGTGTGCTTGGCAAAAAAAAAGAATGTTTCTTTTGCAAAGACGGGGCAGACACTGAAAGCTCAGAAGTTGGAATTGATTCACTCTGATGTCTATGGACCAACACCAGTCTCTTTGGTGGATCAAATTACTATGTAACGTTCATCGATGATTCAACACGAAAGATATGGGTCTATTTTCTTAAAAACAAGTCTGAAGTTTTCAATACTTTTAAGAAATGGAAGACTGCTGTTGAATTAGAAACTAACCTGAAGGTGAAGTGCTTGAAATCGGATAATGGAGGTTAATACATCAGCACAGAGTTCACCGAGTATTGTGCTGAACACGAGATCCGGATGATCAAGACTGTCCCAGGCACTCCTCAGTAGAACGGAGTGGCAGAACGGATGAATAGAACACTGAATGGAGGGCTAGAAGCATGAGATTGAATGCTAGACTTCCAAAGGCGTTTTGGGCCGATGCAGTTAACACTGCTGCCTATCTTATCAACCGAAGATCATCAGTGCCATTGGGTTTAAGATACCCGAAAAAGAGTGGAAGGGAAAGCAGTAAAGTATGAACACTTGAGAGTGTTTGGATGCAGTGCCTATGATCTGACAAGAGAGGTGACAAGTTAGATGCCAAAGTCAGAAAATACACCTTCATCAGATACGGAGGAGACAAGATGGGCTATCGGCTATGGGACTTCGAAAGTAAAAAGGTTGTCAGAAGCAAGCATGCCCCATTCAATGAGGCAGAATTTTACAAAGACAGAAGCACAGAAAGTCCGAAAGTTGCGAAAGAACAGGTTGAGTTCGACAGTGATGCTATCGGAACCAGAGACTCTGTGGGTTCTCAAGATAGCGGGAGTCAGGAGAATGAATCCAATACTGACGAGTTTGAAGGCAATCAAGGGGACTTTGTTGACAGTGAAATTTTGGAGGAGTAAGGTCCTCCCCATTCACCAGTGCAGCCGCAGCCAACCGAGTCCAATGGGTTAGGAGATCCACTAGAGTTACCAAACCTCCAGCGAGATATGATCTTAGTGTAAACTATCTTCTTTTGACTAAAAATGGTGATAAAGAAAGTTATCATGAAGCAGTTAAGCAGAATGATTCGATTAAGTGGGAGCAGGCCATGAAAGAAGAGATGAGTTCCTTGCACAAAAACAAGACATGGATTTTGACTAAACTTCCTTCTGACAAGGAGGCGCTTCAAAATAAATGGGTATTCAAAATCAAGGAAGAACCAGATGGGTTGAAAAGGTACAAAGCTCGCTTAGTTTTTAAAGGATTTCAGCAGAAAAATGGAGTAGACTACACTGAAATCTTCTCTCCAGTAGTAAGGATGACCACTATCAGATTGGTTCTCATAATTGTAGCTGCAGAGGGCTTACATCTAGAGCAGCTGGATGTTAAGACAACATTTCTACATGGTGATCTCGATGAGAATATCTACATGGTACAACCTGAGAGGTTTCAGGTTGCTGGCAAGGAGAATTGGGTCTGCAAGCTGAAGAAGAGCTTATATGGTCTATAATAAGCCCCCAGGCAATGGAACTTGAAGTTCGAAAACTTCATGGTGAGAATGGGGTACAAGAGATGCGAAATGGACCATTGCTGCTATGTGAAGAAGTTTAAGGATTCCTACATCATTCTACTTCTCTATATGGATGATATGTTGATAGCTGGTGCAGACATGACATAAATCAATAAGTTAAAGCAACATATATCTGAGGCATTCGAGATGAAAGACTTAGGTCCAGCCAAACAGATACTTGGGATTAGTATAATCAGAAATAAGGATGGCACTTTGATACTATCTCAGGAGAAGTATATCGGGAAAGTGTTAGAGAAGTTCAACATGAATAGTGAGAAGACTAAGCCGAGAAACACACCTTTGGAAAGCCACTTCAAGTATACAAAAGATCAGTCTCCGAGAACAGACAAAGAAAAGGCAGATATGGCTAAAGTCCCTTATGTATCTGCAGTTGGTAGCCTCATGTATGCAATGGTGTGTACGAGACCAGACATTGCTCATGCAGTCGGGGTTGTTAGTCGCTACATGTCAAATCCGGGGAGAGAACATTGGGAAGCCGTCAAGTGGATACTAAGGTATTTAAAGGGTACTTCCAAGATGAAGTTATGTTTCAGAGGCAAAGATGCGATTCTCAGAGGGTATTCAGATGCTGATCCGGCTGGATGCAAAGAGACATTTAAGAGCACTACAGGGTACATCTTCACAGTGGGAGGAACTGCAGTTAGCTGGATGTCTAAACTTCATAAAAGTGTGGCGCTTTCGACAACAGAACTTGAGTATATGGCAGTTTCTGAGGCCAACAAAGAGTTAGTTTGGCTAAAGAACTTTCTCCTGAGTTGGATCAAAGGCAGGCGGATTATTCACTACATTGTGACAATGAGAGTGCAGTAAAACTTGTCAAGAACCCGGTTTATCATGGAAAAACGAAGCATATTGGGATGCGATATCACTTTATCAGATGATTGATAAGTGAAGGGACGATAAAGTTGAAAAACATCTCAAGTGCTATGAATCTAGCAAATATGTTCACAAAGACTGTGACGCTGGACAAGCTGAAGTTATGCATGACTTCAGCTGGTCTTCATGAGATATGATGAGAAGACCGGGGCAATCAAGTGAAGCTGAGGATTTTACGGAAGTACAATTGAGCGCAAATGTTTCGAAGCCTTCAAGTGGGAGATTATTAAGTGTAGGCTTCTTTAGGTATTTAACCCTAATGGGCTTAAGAGTTTGGGCCCAATTGTTATTAACTCTAAACTTAGTCTATAAATACTCCTCTTGTACTTGTAAAAATATAGTCGCCTCATATTACAGTAATAAGAAAAACTTCTTGGTTGCCCCCGTGGACGTAGGTCGATAAACTTTATTGGCCGAACCACGTAATCCTTTGTGTTCTACTTTCTTGTTTGTGTGTGTGTGAGAGAGTTAATCCTAACAGGGTTGGCATTTTTAAGTTTATTCTTCTTTTTTGTGTAAACGACATACATTCTAGTATATTTCCAATCTATCCCATATGGTACTCTGCTGATCGAGCTCAATTTTAGCCTCTGTATTTTATTTCCCCAAATCATAAATCACATCTGTAGGGTTTTCATGGTTTGTGTTTTGCAAGTACTCTTTTATGCTAATTGTTTGTATATTATAGCAAGCTGAATGACCAATTTTTGCTAATGTTTTACATTGCAGCCCATACCAAGGAATCTGCCCAAGTTTTAGTGAACATGATTACAATGGCATTTCCTAATGCAAGATTGGTTCTTGTGGTTGCCATGGCAATTGACAAAGATCATTTTGGTTTTGCAGAAGTTCTTCTTTCAGGTTAACCATCTATATTGACTTATCATTGCATTATTGCTCTATAATGAATTGGTTTTTATGGAATGGGCTGTGTTCAAAACTTCTTCTCATAAAGGTCTTTATCTTAGAGCATATACAATAGTCGGGTTCAAAAGAGCCTCCAGTTGGTGATGTGTCATGATGTCAAATCAAATTCAATCGACTCCAAAATAAAACACACAGTGGTTTTAAAAAATTTTCTTCTGCTCTCACATCTTGGATGCAGCTTCGATGGTGCCTCACCTCCAGTAGGCACCATGCTGCCACATATTTTTACCCTCTAAAATTAAATTGTTGTGTATACTTTTTTGAGAAAAAAAGACCTCTTACGAAATAGCTGACCATCTAAACACATCCCACTGCATATGCTCTTATATTACCTTAATATTAGGTTTCTGGAGTAAACCTGTACCTCTTTGTGAAGGATAATTGCCCTTTCCCATGAGAAATAGATGGTTGTGGTTTCAGTCACAGAACTTTGGCCTCCATAGTAGCCAATTTAAGGCTATCAACTAATCATAGGTAGGCAGGATGAAAACTAAATGAAAGGCCTTTTTGGTGAGGAGATGCAACAAGAAACGCTTTGTAAGGCAGCATATGCAGCACCCGCATAACATATTCTTATAGTTTATTTGGGTTATTTTTTTTATTTTCTAATTTTCTTATTTAATGTTTCACATGCAATCCTGCCACCTAGTTTAAAAAAAAACCCACTCTCCTTTGCAGCTGGATGTCTGGATGCTGTGTGTTTCACTGAAGTTGATATTGCTGGAGATAGATACCGAACGACTTCCTCATCTCTTTTGAAAGATACTTGGATACAAGCATGTTCTGTGACAGGTGCTGATTTTCTCGACTGCAAAGTGGAAAAGTATGACTTGACCGAGGATCAGGAAGAAATAATGGGAAATCAGTCTATTTTATTCATGGAGGGATCTTTAATGGCTTCTATGAAATTTGGAAACAAAATCCTTTGTGCAAAACAGGGAGCCAAACAGGGGATACTAGTTTTCACTGGATCTTTACATATAGTTTCGGCTATTTTAGGCTCCATCAATGGGTAGGTTAGAGGTTGTTATTTACTTTTTCTCAGTTCATTGGATGTATAATTTTAAATTAATTAATTAGTCATGCGATGGTAACCTTGCGGCTACTTATATTGAATGCTCGACCTGAGGCTGTAAAAGATTTATTTTACAATGGAAAATTCTGTTAAATGTCACGTGTCATGCAGACTTCTTGTTACGTTGAAAATAAGTTAATGTATAAAGACTTGAAAAGAAGCTAAGGTTTAAAGACCTTGCCGTTAATTTCAAGTAAAATTAATTGTAGTTTCTGTTGCTCTGATAATGGGGTCCGTTTCTGACTTTTTCATGAGTTACTATTTACCGTAAAAAGGCACGGAAGGAATGTAAGAAATGTTTTGACCCAAAAACATGATTTTTTTTCGAAAAATACTTGAACATGATTGATTAAAATCAAACATAAACATAAAGATTCATTTATAATCTTCTTTAGTTTGACTAAAGAAAGTGAATCAGGGCTCAAGTCGCTAAATCATCAACAAACAAGTCCATAGCGATACAAAAACATAAACTAACAAAAAAAAATATGACAATTACAAACTCTAAGGCCCATAGATTCTAAACATCAGAGCAAACATCACACATAAGCATGAAAAGGAAAGGCACACCAACAACAATTAAGAGAACAGTTACAATCTCCAAGTCACTGGCGAAGCAACGACCGTTCATAGGCATCACAAGGGACAAAGACAAAGAATGAAAGAAAAAAACAAGAAGATCTCTATAAAGGGATGAGATAAAAAGGTGCGAGAGAGAAAGGTTTAGAGAGAGAGTGAGGTGTGAGGAGTGACAATGAGCGACGGCGAGTGAAGTGGTATGTATATATAGGTAGGCCAGCTAAAAAATAGATGGCTAAGATCATAACCCTCGATCGGACAATCCACATTCAATCTTGTGTGGATTAGGCAAACTAGTGTGCGCTACTTATTTTGGATTAAGCTTTTAATGTTTTGGATTTTTTATTCACATATTGGGCCTCAATTTCAATCATGCGCACCAAAACTCAACATATATAGTCGAAAATTTAAATTTGTATTAGTGTTTACAAATTTAAAACCAGTGTATTAACATATTCATTAACCAAATTCTCCACATACATATAACATAAACATATTAGAAACTCCCAAAAGCGGACAGATAAATGATGAACAAAATTATGAACATTAAAACGTAAAATTGTAAACATAAATATATATATATATAGCTGAATTTATATCTCCTTCTTGCGTATATCTAATACACAAAAAAAATAATAATAACAATTGAAGAATAATTATGATCATATCTTCAAATATAATTTCCAAGGAAAAAAAATATGTTCATCTTAACTGTTCTAGTTTTTCTTAATTACTTTTTTTTTTAAAAAAAAATTAGAATGTTGTTTGTGGTAAAGGAATCTCATTAACTAATAGAGAACGATTAAAAAATATATCATAATTATATAAAAAATAAACAATTAGAAAAAATAGATGTTCAATCGAAGAATGCAAATGATGTTGTTGTGTTGTGAAGTCTAAGCTAATGTACACCCAACACCTCAATTGTTATGCGTTACTTTGCAATGGAGATATCTTTCCATATTTTATATGGATATGGTATTGGATGCTATACATTAAGTCACTTCTTTATTTAAAAGGAAAAGAAATAATATAAAATTACAAACTAACCTATTAAACGATAGAAAACCAGAGAAATACAAATAAAATACAAACCAAATAAAATTAAGAACCGAATGAAAGGGACAAGATCTCATTTCATTGCTACATGACACTTTCCATTTAGTTTCCTAATTTATTAGAAGTATTCTCCCATTTGTTGAAATTTGATTAAACTCATTGTTAATATGTGATTTATTTGATTATTGAAAGAATATCAATTGTCAATATATACACTTTTGTCCCTTTTTTTAAAACTGTGTCTAGTCATTCAACTAGAAACTAATTTAATATATCATCAAAAAAATATATTAATATTTCTTACAATCCATAGCAATAAGTATGTAACAAAAGGTGGTCGGGTTACGAAATGTTTCGTAACAATTTTTTTTTTTTAATTTAATTTGGTCAATATTTTTATTTATTTCTGTATTTTGTTTGTAATAGTTATAAATATAACAAGATTTTATCTTAAATATATTTATTACGTTTGTCAATTCGTAATAAAAAAATAAATTTGACATTTTTTTTTTTAAAAAAACTATTTGAAAACAAATTTCAAATAAGAAAAATCCCCAAAATCTATTTTTGAAAAACAAAATCTCCCGAAATTTTGTTGGGAACACACAAGGAAAGATAGAGAAAAATAAATCGCAAGACACGAGAATTTAATGTAGTTTAGTCTCACAACATACCTACATCTACGATCCCAAAACGAGATAATCCACTAAAATATTTATTACAATTTTTGCACTGATAAAATTGTAAAACTCTCACCACAACAACTCACCGAATTTCAATTTCACTCTCTTTAGTTACTAAAGGAAAAAAGCTTGTTGTCATGTTTTAAACTAGGACCCAAGGGGGTCAATTTATAGGAGTCAATGCCCCCACATTTTTATCACACTTCCTATGTGGGCCATGGGAAGTTACACAAAAAATCCTCTTTCTTCCCATAGTCTCACATATTTCAACAATGTCAGAAAAACAAACTCTCTAATCGATTTTATGATTCTTCATATCATTGCTGCTATCCACATTTACTCGCAAGGCGCATCCATCTATGGACAAGGGCACTATGCAGGTCAATGTCCCAATAAACAAACCGTTGTGATTTTGGAGAATGGCGAATGTGGATATGTTGATGATGGTGAGGGAGATGAGGTAGTAGAGGCTGAAGCAGAGGCTGGAAGTGATGATGACGTTGAAGAAGTGTGCGATGAGGATCCATTAAGTTTAGTAGTCATGAGTGCCTTGACCTCTTTACCGCGCGAAGATAAGGATACGGAACAGCAAGAAAATCTATTCCACTGTCATTGCAAGGTAGCGGGACATACTATATCCATGATAGTGGATTCGGGTAGTTGCACCAATGTTATTAGTTCCTATATGGTCAAGAAGCTGAGTTTGAATACCACTCCACACCCAAAACTATATAACCTACATTGGATGAGTAATGAAGGAGCTGTCTGTGTCGATAGACGAGCCATTGTTACCTTTTCGATTCGTGGTTTTAGCGATGATATCATTTATGATGTGTGTCCCATGATTGCATGCCACCTCATTTTGGGATGACCATGGCAATTTTATAGACGTGTTTTGTGTAACGGATATAAGAATCAAATATCATTCACTAAAGGTTGCAAGAAGCTGAGCATCTCCGCCCTTTCACTCGAGACCGTCCACCGTGATGATGAACATTTACATAGGACTATGCGAGATGTGGTAAAATCAAAAGGGGTTGTTGTTACCATTTCGGAAAAACCTTCTGAGGAAGACAATGGCAAGTTGTTGCTTAGTCTCAAAGAGTTCAACAAAGAAGTTTGCCAAAACAGTAACCAAGATGAGGGAAGTTACTTTTATATTCTCTTACTCAAAGAAGTACTTGTTATTGATGATAATTATTTTTCTCACTCGTCTCCTCCTTTTGTAGACTTGCTTAAGGAGTTTGAGGATGTTTTTCTGGATGATATACCACCTGGATTACCACCATTGCGAGGCATCGAACATCGTGTTGATTTTGCATCGGGTTCATCAATTCGCAATAGGCCAGCTTATAGGTGTAATCCAAAAGAAAGTGAGGAAATTCGGAGACAAGTCCAAGAGCTTCTTGATAAGGGATGGGTTCGAGAATCTTTATCTCCTTGTGTTGTACCTGTTTTACTAGTCCATGGTGTATGTGTGTTGATTGGAGGGCCGTCAATGCAATT